TTCGGGAACTGATGCCAAGAAAGTGAGCCCATGGACAAAGAGGAGGCAGAAGCAACCTCAGAAGGACGTGTCAGGACCCAAGGGCCTCATGGAAACTCGCTGGACATGTTCCAAGGACTCAGAAGCCACCGCATCATTTCTGGCCCTTGAGAGGAGGGAGCAGTCCAGCCCCACGGCCTAGAGCAGGTGCCAACCTGGGATCCAAGAATAGCCCAGCTGCTCCTCTGCCTAAGGGACCAAATACCTTCACAGGCCCAGAGAGGGACACTGGCTTGTGCATTGCTGCACAGCACCTGCTTGGTGGCTCTGAGCTAGACTTGAGTGGCCTCCTGACTACCTGTCACTGTCCAGAACTGTCAGTCCCAGCAGATATGCTGGCCACAGCCCTCCCTGCTCCCAGCATCCTGGGAAGAGAACCTCCTAGCTCGACAGCTAAGAAAACTCTGAACTGTGCCCCCTGGTCTCTCCCCTCCTCACATGTTCACACCGTATTGTTTTGACATTGCCCATCTCTCCCCACAACCTCACACCCTGTCCTGTTCTTCCCTAACACCGTGGCCCCCAGGGCTAGAAGGAGCACCCCGAGATCATATGCCAGAAATGAGACTTGGACATTCCTGCAAGACCCCTGCCAAGATGTCTCCATCCTCTGCTTTCATGCCTCCAGGGACGGAGAGCTCACTACCTCCCCAGGCAGCCCCCCCTGCCTTTGGACTGCTCTGACTGTAGCATCAGCTCAATACAAGGAAGAGGTTTCTGTTTTCCTGTGGTTTCGTGTGTGGCATCCTCTCTCTCTCTGCCAGAGGGAGCTGGAGGGTCAGTTATGGTTCCTCTCTGAGCCCTCGTGTCTCAGGCTTGAACAGCCTAGGGTGTCTGAGCTACTACTTGTGTGCTGTGGTCTCTGGTCTCACCGGCCACAGCACACTTCTGATTGTCCTGTGAAGGTTATGCCAGGGAGAGGTTCTCCCAGGCTCCTTCATACCCAGAGAGGCAGATCAGGGGTGTGGCACATATTGGCAGATGGGTGGGGTGCCAGTGAGCAGTTTTCACTGGCAACTTGTTTCATTGCTTCAGGAGAGCAGATGTGGCAATCTGAAATTGCCGTTGGCACAACTTTCTATATAGATCCACTGCCTTTGCTCTGGGGTGGGCTGAGATTCCTAGCAGCCGTACCTAGGATGTATGGAACTGCCCCATGGGGTTCCTGAGGCTGTAAATGTGTAGGAAGCAGACTGCCATGGCCTCCTCCTGTAAGAAGAAGTTGTTGATGGTGAGAGTCCAGCCACAGCTGAGTGTCTTAAGCACTGTGCCACCAGGGCTCCTTCACACCTGCTCAGCATCCGCAGATCAGTCCCACATACACAGGACTCAGCTTCTAAGACGGTGTTAGCAACTGGATTTCATGGGCGTATGGATCCTGAGGTCAGGAATGGCTCTGCCTAGACACGGGCTTTGGGGTGGATCGGGTAGGAGGGGACGGGTAATCCTTACTCGTGCTTGATTAGTGCTGCCTGCCAGGCGCCAGCTTGACTAGTGCTGTCTGGCGGGAAGAGCTCACTTATGAATGAGATCAGCCCCAAGCGTGGGAATGGACGCATCAGCTCAGAGTCAGCGCCCCTCGCTGATCCTCCTGGGAAGAATCTGTAATCACGCTCCCCACGGGGCTTCCAGTCACCCAGATGTCAGAGCTAAAGCCAAGGGTTCAGTGTCCCCGTCTCTGCCACCCACTCCCCTTCTGAGATGCAGCTGGAAGCCTGGTGTCTGCGTATAGATCTGGTTAGACCCTTTATCCTCCTCCCTACCTCGTGTCCTGCTGTCCCCACTGTAGTGGCCCTCTCGCCACCTCTCCATACTAGGTCGTCCCACACTGTCCTTGAAGCAGCCTGCCCTGGTGACTCTACATAATCCTGTTCCTAGAAGCTGGTGTCCCAAGGAGCCACCCCAGCTGGTGATCTCTCCTTTCTGGAACATTGAGGGCAATCCCAGCTTGATTAGTGATGTCTGGCCTGTGCAGGTGCAGGGACGCAGCAGGGTCTGACTTTACTCCTTACTGTCCACGTCAGGAGGGGCTGAGCCTGAGAAGAGTCTGGTGTCTAGTACCCTCCCCCCATCCAGCTGCTGAGACTGGACAGCTGAGTAGGGTTCAAACTGGGCAGCTTCGGGGCTCCAATCCAAGAGCTTCCTAGCCTTTTGAAATCCATGTGGTCCCTCAATGCCCAGGTGAGTCAGGAGAATCCTGGGCCTTTGACACCATCCACTGTCCTCTAGCCTCTTCCTCCCACTTCTGGACCTTGGGAAAAGGACAAGGATGGTGGAATGAAGGAACTGTCTAGCTAAGATGGGCTGCAGGGTGGATCAAACTCAACCTGCCCAAGGGGGCACCTTAAAGATACCCCGAACTCTGAATCAGCCCTGACTCCCAGGCACTGACTGGCAGGACAAGGGCGGTGGAAAGAAAGCCTTCCTCTGCTAGTAGTACCCTGTTCTGAAAGCCAGTTGCCTATTCTGAAGCATCTTGGATAAGGAGAGATACATCCTAAGGGCTGGGGGTGAGGAAGCGTGGCATCTTCCCTGGTCCCCTGTCTAGTCTTGCTATTCCAGCTTCTCTTCTATGACTAATGTACCCAGACAGGCCCCCTCAGCAGTCCCCTTCTCCCCTCATGGGCATATACCAGAAGTTTATTTTTAGACCAGTGAATGACCCCTGCAGTGGATCACAGAGCTAACTTACCATTTATCTCTTATGAGGACCCCTTTTATATATCAGGAGGTTTTACCATATAAAACAAGACACCCACACAAATGGTTTTGCACTGATTTTTGTGTTTCTTATGAAAAGAAATAGGAATGAAGAATAAATAGTGACTGTGAAGAAAGGTGGTCTCCATTTGGGGTGGGGGTGGACGGCCTGATTATCAGGAGCTCAGCTTGAGGATGCTGGGGTCCAGCCACAGGGGTGGACTGGGGGGGCATTCTAAGTCATCCCTAGGTTGTAGGAGAGCTAGATACTGCCCCATGACCTCCCTGTTACTGTCCCCTGCCCAATATGGCATTCTCCTGAATGTCTCCCGAGGCCTCCATAAAGTTCTGCCCTCTTGATACTCTGAGCAGCACAGTTCATAAACACAGCTGCCTGAGCCTTCAGCAGGGAAGATCCTGCCACTTGCCCCATTCCACAGTTGAGGAGATGCTGACAGGTGAAGCCCCAGCAGATGTTCCGTGCAGAGCCCACCCCAAAGCTTGAACTTCCACCTGCCTATCAACCGGCCTCCTCCAGGTGGTGATGGCTCAGCGGTAGAAGTCTTGCTTTCCCTGCTGGAACCCTGGGTGCCCTCCCTCACCTGGTGCAGTGACCACCTCTCAGGAGGCCTGCGAGCTGCTGTGTAGAGTGGAGCAGAGCTTCCAGACTAAGATGGGCTAGAAGAAAAGCCTGGGGATCGACTTGCAAAATCCAACTGAGGAAAACCCTGGGGGTCACAAAGATCCAGACCACCCAGATGGACGCCATAGCTGCTACCAAGCCCGCCTCCTGGGTGGAGAGTCCTGGCTATTCCTGGGAGGACTCATTATCCATCACCCACCAGAAGCTCAGCCAGGCCTTAAAAGGCATGGCCCACAAAGCAGACTGCAACGCGGGGACACTGCCCAGTGGCTGGCCCCACCTTCACCCACAGGGTGGGGATGGGGGGATGGGACTTTGCCTGGAGGCACACACTTAAGTGGCCAGAGATGGATGCAGGATTCCCAAGGCTACCAGGAGGCTCCCCGTCTGGTTCAGACCTGTCTCAGGCAGCTCAGCCCAGGACACCTCTGGGCCTTGCTCCTCCACTGTGGTACTTCTGTGGAGGCCATGCCATCTGGTGTGTGTCTGTAGGAGTGGGCAGGGGGTCTCTAGCCAGCCATGCACAGGCCAGCTGGGGTGGTAGAAGCTAAGGACTCAGGAAGGACAGAGTTGGGGCCCATGTCTACTCTCTCCACACCCCACCCCATTCCATGTGTGAGTATGTGCTGGAAATAAGGACAAGGGCAAGCCAGGCCTTCACCTCCCGGAGAGTGCTCAGTCGTCCCAAGTCTCCAGTGGGCCTGGGGCTCCAGGAAGGGTTCCCAAACCATGGAGATCCCATGGGACAAGGAAATGCCATGCCTCGCGTCATCCCCTGAGCCCATCACTCAAAAGTGCCTCATTTAGGTCACATTTGTCCACTTGTCTGGGAGAGTCTGTGACCACTGGCAGTGCCTGGGTGCACAAAATTTAGGGGAAAGGGCTCTCAGAGAGTACTGGGGACACAGGGATGCCCTTAAAAGCAGCACAGCCTAGAGCCAAGGAGAGCTCTCACTGGGCCAGGTCTTGTTTTGGGGGACAGGCACAGGCCTCTGTGGCCCAGCTGCACAAAAGGGTTGAAAGGAAAGTGCCAGCCCAAAGCCCGCCCCACCTCCCCAGCTCCCAGCCAGGCCATGGAGAGGTGGTTGGGTGTGGCGTTGTGTGTGTGTGTGTGTGTGTGTGTGTGTGTGTGTGTGTGTGTGTGCGTGCGCGTGCATGTGTGTGTGATGTGAGCCAGGAAAGGGCCAGACTTGGGGCTAAGAGCTCGAGCTTGTCCAGCTCAGACAGAGGTCAAGATCAATAGATTGCCAGGGGACAGAAGGAAGCAGTCCACAAGCCCTCTCAAACAAGATCCATCAGGACCCACAACCTCCCAAGACTCTAGGCCTTCAGTCAGTATCTTTTGAGGGAATCGGAGGCCAAGAGACTTAAGGAGACATAATGGGGGGGGAGAACAGGGGTGCTGAGCCCCAATCCCACCCCACACCTGCATCTCAAATGTGAATAAATGCCCAGAAATCTCTTTCTTGGGGAGCCTGGACCACGGAGGGCTGGGCCCTGCCCTCCTGGACCTGTCCCCCCCCAAGTAGGCACAGGCAGGGCCAGCAGGGAGCGTCCTGCAGCAGAGGCCCCAACCCATTCTCCCCAGGCTTTGGTGGCGACCACGGCCTGCAGGCGGCTAGACTTTCTTGGGTCTCCGGCCGACTTGGTAGTAGTAGTAAACGCTGATGATGACGAAAAGGAGGCGGCTGGCCAGGAGCAGCAGGACCCCCAGGGACACGAGGCCCGTCTCAGCGAGGGAGGCCGTGACCACTGCAGGAGAAAGGGCAGGAAAGGGTCAAGTTAGGGGAGGGGCTGTGCCCTCACCCCACCGTGGAGAGCTGCCTCGATGACCCCTGTGAGCCCAGGGGTTCTGTCCTCCTCCCAAATCCAAGATATTTCTGTTCTGATGCCCCTCATGCAACAAGGGGGCAGTAGAGAGCAGCTGTCCAGCTGTCCCGTACAGGCTGGGTATAAGCAGCGTGGGGGAAGTGGCAGGTCCACAGGGGGCTGTGGTGCAGGGATGTGGACATGGAGAAAGACACAGGGATGGAGGACCACACTGCAGCTAGGACCGCGGCACATGGTAAGCACAGCCACAAAAGTCCCACCCTTGTCCCCTCACTTCCTGCAAACTCAAACAGCTCCTGCTAGAGGCGCCCGCTAACCCACCTCTCCCAGGCCCACTCCACACTCACCCAGGAACTGGACCCCGAAGTAGCAGGCTTCGGTGAGCAGAGTCCATCGGATGATGACCTTCTCGGCCGTGTACAGAGCGTTCCACATGATCAGGGAGATGCCTGGCGGGCACAGAGTGGGTGAGCCAGGGATGGGGCAGCCCACTCACTGCTCCTCCCTTCTGCCCAGATCTGCAAGGCAGCAGGACCCCGCGCAGCGTATTATCCCCGTCCCCACTGTTAGGCAAGTCGCACCTTCTCCAGTCCTGTCCTGTCCCCGCCAGGAACACCCCTGCTGCCTCAGCCAGCAAGCACATCCCTTCTCACATTATTCCCAACTCACTATGGGGCACTGGGCAAGTCCCTTCCCCCCACTGGGACTCAGTTTCTTCATCTGTAGAACGGGAGTAACTGCCCCACAGCCAACCTGTCTGTACCCAGTTCTGAGATGACAGAATCTATGAGTTAATGGTTATCTGGTCCTATAGCTGTTAAGGAGCCATTCAGAGGACTTCCCCAGGGGGTAGAGGTGGGGTATAGATCATGTTTTCTTGGTGGAAGGACCACCAGTAAGTCACAACTTGCAGACCCCTCATGGGACCAGCTCATCCAGCATTGGCTAGCACTGGCTCTGCACACCATCCACGTAGTCACTGTATACCATCGACAAGTCAAATCTTGTAACTCCAGCCCACCCGCTGAGAGAATGAAGGGTTTGATGCTACCCACTCGTACCACACCCTGCCCCAGGGACAGCTGAGCTGGCCCTTGAAGGTTGAATAAAAATGTAGCCAGCACAAGGCTGGGTGAATTTCAAGTGCAAAGGTAGAGAAACTTCATAAAACAGCACAGAGCACCGTTAGGTGTGGATGGCCCACTGGGGTGTCGAGAGGTAACTCAGGGGAGGCAGGTGGATCTACTCCAAAACAGATTCTGAACCTGAACTTTATGCTATATGCAATAGGGAGTTACTGAATATTTTGGGGAAGGAGATAGCATAAATTGTATGAGTTTTGATTGAAAACTCTAATGTTTCAACAAGCGCTATGTGCAACTCAGATTAGAGAAGCAGCAGAAATGGTTCAAAAGAAAAGCCCAAAAAAGTCTGAATCTACTGGGATAAACATGGAGTTGGAGTGAAGGGCTGTGCACACACTGTGTTGTTTCTGCCACCTTCTCTATGCTAAGAGGCCCTGGAGGGCCCAGCATGCACCTCCTGCATTTCTGCACCCCAGGCTCAGGGCAGTTTACTGCATACAGTAAGCATTCATTGTTTGTCCCAGACAACGACAAAGACTGAGTGCCAGTCAGCTGAGGGAATTTCTACAAGTGGCCACTTGATGGCAGCACAGACCCATAGAGAAGACAACAAATGGCAGACGCTGCCTTGTGTTGGGGGTGTAGCATCTTCCAGCAGAGGAAAAGATGGGGAGCTCCCTATACAGCTAGAAGCTTCCCTGCTGGAGCTGCATCTCCCTAGCATCTCCCAGACATACTCACTGAGGAGGGCACCACCGTAGAGGCGGATGGGGGTCTTGCTGGTCACCTCGGCTCCATCAAAGACAGCATCATATAACTGGTCAGGGAAGGCGAGGGCCTGCAAACACCAGGAGAGGTCCAGCAGCTCTTGGGACAGTCTAGAATTGAGACTGTCCCCCAGCCTCTCCATGCCAGAACAGAAGGCTCTATCTGGGGGTCCCCACTGGGAGGACAAGGGCCAGGAAGGACCGTGGACTAGCATGCTCTGGCAGAACACCAGTGGGAGGTGGTCAGACAGCCCTGGAGGTAGGGGCTTCAGTATGATGGCAATCAAGGCCAGGAGAGGCCACCAGGGGTCCCAGGGTGCATGGGAGGAAAGGACTGAGGGTCTCAGAACCAGGGCCAGGTCCCAGGGGAAGGAGAGGGGGGTCTCACCATGATGGCAATGCCAGAGAAGAGCACAGCAGAGACAAACTGCCAGACTCTGGGGGAGACATGGAGAGGAAGGTCACAACCAGGTCCCTTGCTGCTACCCCAGGCTCCCCAAGACCCTCCCCTCTCTAGTCACGTGCCCAGGATAGAATCCAAAGTCGGACCAGCAGACACAGGGCAAAATGCGGAAAGGTCTTTTGCACCTCCCCTACATACCACCCAGGAGCCCCCAAAACAAACATACATGCTCACCTGAGCCCCAAAGGCTCCCGAACTGCAAATTTTATTTCATTGCCCAAGACTTGGCTGATCTGTGGACACAGAAGGGTCAAAAATGCCCACCCACAGGCTCAGACTCAGCCCACCTGAACTCATGCCTGCCCGAGACCAGCTGGGGCAGCTCAGCTTGGCCAAGAGTTGTGCAGACTGGAGCGCACATTGAAGTCACCCCTTCTCCTATCCCACTTTTTAGCCAAGGTTTAAAGGAAGCTGAAAGCACAGGGGCTAAGGGAGCACACAGGTCAGGGGTGTGCCACGAGTGTGCCAGGAGTAGGCTCAGCCCCATCACCTCCTGGTGTGACTGCAGGCGAGTCCTTTCCTTTCCCTGACCACAGTTTCCTCATCTGTAAAATGGGTATAGTGGTGGTATATGCCATCAAGTAGGAACTGACTCATAACTGACCCTGCGGCAAGTTTTCAGAGGCCAGGAAGAGACTAAGTCACACAGGAGGAGACTGCCCATCCTTCTCCCGTGGAGTAGCTGGTGGATTCAAACCATGTGTCCTTGGGATAAGAAGCACCATAGCTTCTTACAAGTAGGCCACCAGAGCTCCCTAAAATTGGTATAGTCATGGCCATCTGGGCACCCCACCGGAGTTTCATGTCACCAGTAGCTCTTTGAGAGAAAAATGGACAATTTTCTCCTTTGCTATTTTTAAAAAAATTTACATTGGTTTGCATACAAAATTCATATACATTGTGTTTCATTAATGTACATTGTGTTGTACACATTCCTTCGTCCGCATTGTTTCATCCAATCATTCCCATGCATTGTGTTTAATCATCATTGATCTGTGCCCGCTGGGCGGTCAGCTATGAGTGGTTGTAACTCCACGGCAGTAAGTTTGAGTGTGACTGCTTCCCGGAGACGAGCAGATAACACTAATGCTTCAAAAGCACTTGGTGTGATGTATAGCACTCAAGTCTAAGGATCTTTGGGGTCCATTATTACGATTATCTTCCTGGCATGCCCTGGAAGTTTCTAGAAAAATAAGCGAGGTCCCGGGGCCTCAGTGATTGTGCAACCTGCTGGTGGGACACACCTCCCTGCACTTCGAGGCCCCGACCCACCTTGGAGCGGTGCACCTCCCCGTCATCATCCTCCCCGCCCACGCCGAGAATCTTCCGTGTCTTGAGGCGGCTCACGAGGTCCGTCTGGCTGTGCTTCTTCATCAGGGGCGGGGGCTGCTTGGCTGCCATCCTGTCCCAGGCACGGCCTCTGCAGAAGGGCTGAAGGGGACACCAGGCTCTGCTGGGACCGAGGGGGACACCAGGCTCTGCAGAGGGGCTGAAGGGGACACCTGGCTCTGCTGGGACTGAGGGGGACACCAGGCTCTGCAGAGGGGCTGAAGGGGACACCTGGCTCTGCTGGGACTGAGGGGGACACCAGGTTCTGCAGAGGGGACTGAGGGGGACACTGGCCTCTGCAGCGGAGCTGAAGAGGACACCAGGCTCTGAAGGGAGGTTGAGTGGGACACTGGCCTCTGCAGCAGGGCTGAGGGAGGATGCTGTTCTCTGCAGAGGTGACTGAGGGGGACAATGGCCTCTGTAGTGAACTGAAAGAGGACACTAAGCTCAGCAGGAACTGAGGGGGTACACTGGCCTCAGGACTTGGGCCTGTCCATCTCCCCAGAAACTGTGTATGTTGAGCTACTAGTTCCACTCTGGGGTCTGCCCCCTGCATCCCCCTACTCCACCTATGGCCGGGTCTAGTGCACCTACTGTGTGTCAGGCACTGTGCTGGGCACAGAAGATGAAGAGATGCACTGACAGCCTTGCCTTCAAGCAGCAGAAAGTCTGCAAAGGAAAGAGAGGTAGAATCAGGAAGGACGTATGGTGGATGTAGGAGGCACAGCAGGCGAAGGTGGCCGGGGGCTGGCAGGGCACAGGGAGAAGGGCTTTATTTAGTCACAGCCTCTCTGCAAGATGGGTATACCTCGCGCCTGTTCTACAGGTCAGGAAACCAAGCTGGACTGAGTATCAGTGGTGTCCCCCACGCCACAGCACTGGGTGCCACGCTATAGCCATTCTTTCACTCACTGCCACCTCCTGGCACAGGTGGTGCAAACAGTTAGCACTTGGCTATTAACCTAAAGGTTGGCCAATTAAACCTACCTAGCAGTGCCACCTAAGAAAAGCCTGGCAATCTGTAACGATTACAGTCAAGAAAACCCTGTGGGGCAGTTCTCCTCTCATACGTGGGGCTGCTGGGAGTAGAAACAGGAAGTAGGTTTATCACCCTCTGGCCAGGCAGGAAAGCAATCCCTATTTGCAGACATGGTAGCAAGAAGCTAAACTGCAATCCCAAAGGCCCATGGTTCAAATCCACCAGCTACTACAAGGGAGAAAGATGGGCAGTCTCCTCTTGTGTGATTAAACTGTCTCTCAAAACTCACTGGAGGGTCAGCTGTGGGTCAGTTCCAACTTGACAACACACAACAACAACAACATGCAGACAAGGCAACTGGGCTGACCAAACCTTCTTGGCAAGCTCCAGACTCAGGGGACAGCCTGTGTTACCGCTGTGTGACCCCGGGGAAGTCAGATCCTTCTATCCCTGCCGTGGGGCTGCCAGAGGCAGTGCGGAAATGTCCCCAGGCCCCTTCCAGCTTTCAAGATTCCCAGTGTTTTAAATAAAATAAAGCGTCCAAAAACATGAACACCAGGACTGAGAATCAACATACGTGGGGTGCCTAAATGGTGCTGCTTTAGGGGGCCTGGCAGAAAAAATGGTAATGCACTTAATTGTTACCAAAAGGTTAAAAGTTTGACTCACACAAAGAAAAGACTCAGCGATGAGCTACTAGAAAGATTCCCCAAACAAAAGCGAACCCACAACAGGCAAGTCACGCCCAATGTCTGGTTTCTGAGCCTGTAAATCTTTACCTACAGAGAATGCCCACTTCCCCCTGTGGGGCAGCTGGTGGGTTTGAACTGCCAACCTTTCAGTTCAGAGTCTGACACCTTAGCCAGTAGGTCGCCTGGGCCCTGTCTTACAAAGTTGGCAGCCTTGGAAACACTACGGCGCAATTCTGCTCTGTCCCATAGGGCCGCTGTGAGTCAGAATCTATTCAGTAGCACACACAACTTCAGATCCATATCGGGGAGAATACCAGTATGGGAAGCCAATACTAAATATTTATAATAAACAGAATGCTATCAGGATGTGGGGGGAGGCACAGTTCAAGCTAGAGTTCACCCTGAGGCACGAAGGCCATCCTTAAGGGTTTAACAGATTCTTGCATTTGCTGACCCCTCCTCCCTCCTGAGTCAAGGGGAAGGTTTTCAATTGAAAGAGCTTGGCTTCATTTGCAATCAATTCTCTTTGTGATTTACATCCTGATAATTTTGAATAAAGATACAGGGAAGCTGGAAATGATGTCTTCTGTAAAGAACTGCTGGGCCCCTGTTTTTCATGCTCTCTGTTCTATCTCATTCCCGGCTATCTGTCTCATTATTAATAATTATAAAAATATTTTACCCTCAGTCTGCAACACACCAGTTTGTGTTCAGTATAGACAACTGGTTGTGTTTAAGCAGATGGGGTGGTATCCAGCTAAATGATCCTCTTGCAGCTCCCCTGAGTCCTGGCCCTAGTTCTTCACCTGTAAAATGCGGTGATGATTCCCATCACATGTAGGGAACAGGTGGTGATACTGGGGACGCCACAGCCTTAATGCCAGCACGGCACTTAAGTACCTGGTTAACATCACCACTCACAGCCTCCATCCGCCCCATGAGAGACACACGGTGGTGAGTGTGGGTCACAGGTGGGGACGTTCTGATGCCACCCAGGGAAGCCTGGAAGCCTGGACTCCGGAGAGGAGGATTGGCAATGTCCTCCCATGCGATTAAACTGCCTCTGAAAACCCGCTGGAGGGTCAGCTATGGGTCAGTTCCGACTCAACAGCACACAACACCATGCAGACAAGCCTCAGCTGGAAGGGGGAGCGGGGCTCACCAGACCTCCTTGGCAAGCTCCAGACTCAGGGGACAGCACGTGTTATCTCTGTGTGACCCCGGGCAAGCCTGATTCTTCCTGTGGACCCCACAAGCTCTACAAGAGCCTGGGACACAACCACAGCCCCTCACTGCTTGTCACCAACTTCTCGTGCACAAGCTACAATTATTCCTGCAACCCTCGCTGTCCACGGGGCCTGCCACAGCTGCCCATTGGACCAGCAAGCTGGTCGAGAACAGGAAGAGCTCATTCCCCTCAGAGAGGCCCCCGGGACCTGCCTGCCCTCCCCACTTCCTCTTCGGGCTTCCCCTCTGGCCTTTTATTTTTGTTATTAAATTTACATACAGTAAACCTGAGTTATTCTGATGCCCCATTCTATGAATTCAACCACATGTATCAAGCAGCTGCCATTTCCAAATGAAGACACGGAGCAGATCCATCACCCCAAAGCCTCCCTGCGTGGTCCCAGTCATGGCCCCCTCACCCCAGGCCCTGCAACTATACATCGGCTCTGTCTCTCTGGCTTTACTGGCATTGTTTTCAGTTACACCATGTAAATAAAATCGCGTAGAGCACCTTCTGAGGCTGGTTTCTTTCATTCATCACGATGTCTCTGAGAGTCATCTGAGTTAATGTGTGCACCGGGAGTCCATTTGTGGGGCAGTTATGAATAGAGCAGCTATAAATATTCACATGCAGACTTCTGTGTGATGCTGAGTCTTCATCTAAGGAGTGGGATTGCTGGGCTGTGTGAAAGGAGAAAAGTCCTAAACTCCTTCCCAGAAAATCGGCACCATTCATCCCCCCAGCATCAGCTGAGCATTCCAGTTTCTCCCTGTCCTGGTCAACAGTTGATGCTGTCAGCCACAGCTAACGGGTCCCTTCTGACTCATCAGGGCACAGTAGACCTGCCCTAGGTGTTCTAAGGCTGTAAGTTCCTTGTCAATGTATCTTTACAGGAACAGGCAGCCTCATCTTTCTTTCAAAGGTCAGCTGGTGGGGTCAAACCACCAACCTTTCAGCTAACGGATGAAAGCTTAACCCAGGGGTCCACCAGATGTTCTAAAGTATGTACAACAGTCTTTCTTTAAGTCATTCCAAAAGGTCTCCGTACTTTGGGCATGTCACTAGGAGAGAGCAGTCCTTGGAGAAGCATATCATGCTTGCATGGGCGGAGGGTGAGTGAGAGGAAGACCCTGGATGAGATGGATTGACACAGTGACTGTGGCAATGGGGTCAGGGGTGTCAGAGACGATGAGGTTGGCTCAGGACAGGGCAGGATCCAGAGCCATTGTTCATGGGGTCGCTATGAGTAATAGTCGACCCGACACGCCTTTGAGTTGGCAGGGCAACTTCTTACCCGCTAGGCCTCCAGAACTGGTGATTCAATCCACCCAGAAGTGCCAGTGCAGAAAGGCCTGGCAATGTGCTTCCATAAAGATGACAGCCAAGAAAACTCAGGTAGGTAGCTCCACTCTAGTGACTTAGTGGAATTGAGTTGCATTGTCAACCCAAAAGCACACAGTTCAAATCCACCAGCTGCCCTGAGGGAGAAGGACTGGTAATCTCTGCCGAAGGGTCAGCCATGAGTCAGTTCTGATTCGAGACAACAGACAACATAACAACACCAGTGGCGTAGTGCACACTGAGCTGTCCGATATCCCAGAGGCTGTGCGTCTCTGGTGGTTCAAACTCACCAGCGGCTCATTAAAATGAGTATCTCCTTCCATTGTGACTGACAGCCCGAAAGTTCAAGGGGAGGGTTGTTCTGCATGAGAACGGACCAAACGGCCGTGAGAAACTATCCTCAAATGAGCTCTGTCATATGGGGTCGCTGTGAGCCGGAAGTTCACCCGATGGCACCTAACAATAACAACACACCCCCCTTCCCCACGCCCCAGGGTGGTCTAAAAACAAGGGATTCTAAGTCTCAGTGCCAAGTGCCAGCTAAGCGCTCACATCACAAACCTACCTGCTACGAGCTCAACTGCTAAGCTCAGACTCTCGACTTTGACTCTGCCGCTTGCTAGCTAGCTATACCCAAGGACAGGGCACTTACTGCCCCCATGCCTCAGTTTCCCCATCTGTAGCTGGGTAAACAAAAGGGACAAGCTCACAAGGATGTGAGAAAGAGCTGTGGTCTGCATGACGTGTGTTGGCCTCCTTCCCAGGATCAACTTCACTGAGCAATGCTCAGACACTGGCCACTGGCCACTGGCTGGGAGCAGGGGTTAGGGGAGCATTCTAACCAGCATTTGCTAACTTCTCA